GAAGTAAATTCGTCCCTCAAAGGTTTACCCACACCACAGGCTTTTGACTTTTCAGTCACAGGATGGAATCAGCAAGCATTACATTCATGTGTGAAAATGAAACCCTGGATTTTGAATTGTCGGATATGCATGAGCTCCGGGAGACGACACGCAGTGAAAAGCTTGACAGATTTTCTCTCCTACTAGGATAAATGATTACTGCGACACACCAAATTTATCAATCTGATGACAAATTCGGCGACAGTGTCTTTGATCAACATGTTGGTTTTCATCTGCAGCATGTTCGAGAAGACGCTTTTTCACTGTCCAACATTTGATTTCGATACTTTCTCAACGGCAGTTGAGGGTATAAGTTTACAAGGCTCGTTGAAGGCCCTCATAGGCAAACATTACCATTTGAAAATAAACCTCAACGTGTTTGAACCCCAAAATAATTCTTAGTTTATAATTATATGAAAAAACATCTAAATCTGACTATACTCTGGAAGATAGCTACATATCATTACAATGCTTGTTCATTGCTACATCATTTATTGTACCGAATTGAAAAAGAATTGTTTATTGAAACTTGATTTTATCATCTGGGCTCTTCTCCTTCCATGACAATGTGTGCAGTATGACGTTTTTGAAGTAAAACAAAGCTTTTCTTGATATTCAGACCCTGAACTTAACAGTCCGTATACGAGAAGTTTAATAACTGATCAATATTGAGCATACATAAAGATGTCCCAATTTTCTTTGTCAAATTTATAACCGATTTCATTTTGCATCCACAAATGTTTCATGAAAAAGCAAAAAAATCAATTTTTCATTTTGCTCGACACCGTCTTCCTTGTCCTCATCATCAGTAGCCACATAATTGAAAAAATCGAACTACAAACGGAGTTCAGTTTCACCAACCACCCACTAATGGATTCATCTAGTACCTGTGCAGCTTAGTTAGCCGGATTAGTTATTCGTTTGAAGCGAACAATGTAGGTATATTGAAATATAATGTATCTCTTTTATTGTACATCCTATATGAAAACCACTACATAAATGGGTTTCACTTGTTACGGTGACAGCTTGTTTAAACGACCGCTTAGTTAAATCTTCACCGGTTTTCTTCCTTAAGTGATTTTTCTTATTACACGCTTGTGCGATGAACAGCAGACGAGGAGAACCACACAGTCACGACAGTCTGTTGTTCAGTATTGAAACCCGGTGACCTAAGCTCCGGAACTTGGAGTAGCCAAACACCTAGGTTAGGCGTGGTATTGAACCAAACGGCAGCAAAGCCACCTACCACCAAAGTTGGGTGGCGCTGGTGTGGCTCGAAACTCCGACTACAGAGTCCAAAGCTCGCCGGTGATAGCAACTAAATCAAGGTGCAATCATCACCCCTCTGGATTATTTTTCCATATTTGGTTAACACATGTGTATTTGTCATCGATCTGAATTATCGTATTCCCCAATTTAGTCCACAATGATAAGGTTGTTTTTTCACGAAAATGATATCATTTGTTGAAGAATTGTTCCACGCTGTTCCTAAACCGCCAATCAAAAGGCATTTTTGCTTTCAGATTACTGATTTCCCTATATTTTGTCGCACCACGTTGATCTGATCAATACGCACTTCTGATGGGGATGCATAATCTGCTTTATTGTTAGCAATGTTGGCACACATAATCAGTTACGTAATGACGCATTGAATTTTTGAACTCTTGTCCGCTGCGCATCCAATCCATCGATGGGAACGCGTGAATGCTGTGCTCCAAACAAACCCCGTACATCATAATCCCTCTCATTGGTCACGCTGGTATTTGCTCTCATACACACACTCTCATATGATGGCAAAGTAAACGGCGGGCTTCCTTTACTGTCCCGTTTGTATCAGTTGAGTGTGCCCTAAGCAGAACGTTAGATTACGTGAACTACAGACTGACAACAATTACAGATTCAGAAGTAATCTGAACAAATACACAGGCTCATATGGTAGTAGACAATCACAAAGCGCTTATTATCAGGTAGCAGAGCTTTCTGAGAGAGACAGAGAGAGACAAGTGGCACATTATGCACACGCCCATGCTTATTATCACAAGAATCAAACTCTAGTGTTTGTTCCATGGGGTTTTCGGGGTCCCTGTCTGCGCTACATATTGAAAGGACAGAAGAACTTTAAAACATACCAATCCAGACCAAACGTGAAACTCGTCTTGTTTTGCAAAACCTTGCTAAGGAAAAATTACACTGAACGCTGTTGCTTGTTGAATCTCTTACCACTAAAAATAATCCCATTTGTATGTTGAGTTCTAATGTTGATTGCATGGAGGACCAGGAAACCTACCACTAAACTCTTTTGTTTGGTGCTTGAAACGTTAACACGCGTTCGCGATAATTGGTCTCTGCGGCGCCGTTGAACACCACGCATTAGTGGTCGTCTCTCCGTCCAATCTAATTTGACTCTCTCGCACCAACAGAAATGCGCACGCTCGCACTCATGTATGTAGTCGCATTCATGCACAACCATGCACGAACATCACACGCACACGAGCTCGGTGAGACATTTC